TCCGTGTTAAAATATATTTTTAAAAATGTACAAAACTAAACAGCCTACATTATTTTTACAGTCTTTATTTTACAGTTAAAATATATGTTTATCAAATAAAGTCTAATGTTACAACTAATCATGGATCCCTTTAAAAAGAAATCTGYGCAGCCACGTTCTCTTCAGAGAAATACTGCCAACCCTTCAAAACAAGCCATATTTATTGAGTGTTTTTCAAACTGAACAGTTATGAAYTTTAACATTTAACATATCTGAAGTCTGTAGATGCACCTCTCAGATTTTCTGCCTGTTTTCCCCGAACATTACAGTCTGACCTGAGGAGGAAGTTATGACCCCCCTGCCTCTGAGAAGACCGAGCACCATCTTAAAAGTTTTACACTTGGACATAATTTTTCAAACTATAGAAATGATGGATCATTATGTGTTTGGAAATGACCTTATAACCCTATTCTGGATACTGTTTCTGTAGGCCCAGGTTATATGTSTCTTTTATACCATTTTACATTATATAGACACACAGCTGAGAGCTGCAGATCAGCACACTGACAAAACGTGTACTATGATGAGGATCAATCAATTAATAAAGCAAATTTAATTAGCTGGACCACCTTAAATGATATAATAAGTAAAAGTGCTTTTACGCTTTACACTTYGAGGTTGTATTTACCCACTTTCTGATAACTAAAACAATTTCTATTGGCATGTAAATGTAAAATACTACAGAACTGCATCCAAACAATTCATTTTGCAAGTTGTGTCTTAAAAACAAGTTGTACTGATATCAGATTCTGGGGTGACAACAAAGCCTAAAATCAAACTGAATGCTCTGCACTTGATAATGTCATGTTGAAGATAAATGACAGAATTAYAGAGATCCAAATGCCTGTATGCTCATCCATCAGCGTTTCTAAAGTTCCAGTAAATCCAGATGAAAACTATTAAAGTGATAGCAAGTCGTTAAGATCATAAGATGACATGTTTGTTTAAGGGCACTCCAGATGTTGTGAGAAGAGGAAGAAAAAATATCCTAAAGCTTGAAAAGCGGATGCAACAAYAATCCTTAACAGACATCGCTAAAAGGCATTCAACAGCAGGCGGCCTCAGATTTCATGTGTTTTTTTTAACCAAGTGATTTCTATTTATGTATTAGCACAAAATCATCATTTCTTTCCTAAAAAAACGCCTTCTCAGGGAAAAACAAAAGCTTGATGAATTTTGAAYATTTTGTGTAGTCATGAATGATTTAAGGCATTTACATAAATAGATACAGAACGTTAAATATGAATGAAGGACAGAGTTATMAAACATTATAAAAAAAATAAACTAGCAGTGGTTTGAGCTATCAGCTCACAGGTTCCTGGCCTTTGTTCTCCCTGTGCACATGTCGCTTTTCTCTTGGTCCCAGACCAAAAACATGGGTTCACTGGTAACTTTAAATAAGTGCCAGTATTATTGTTTCTCAGGTATATAGTTCAATTCTATACCAAAAAACAGTAACTTTGTCACCTTCAGTTGTTATGAAAATGCAGTTAATTTGTATAAATCAAAAAAATAATTTGACTTTGCATCATAGCAGTTTCTAAGCACCTTGAAATTGGCCTCTGTCTCTTTAAGAACCTCCTATCGATTCTGTCACGCCCATCCCTGCACATCATCATGCCGTTGTTCTTTGTTGTAATATTAATATTAATAATAATAAATAGCAGCAACATTAATCTTAATTAATCCGAAAAGGACCGAACTGAGAAGTATTAAGAGCTCAGCAGACGTGGGGTTTCACCAGCTCACATGACATARAATTATTTTTAAACTGGATCTCRTTATAACGAGAAAACTRTCTTCTAAAAATKAGAAAACTATYTTGCTAAATCAAGATAAYCATCTCCTTATAACGGTTTCTTCTGGCTTGTCACTTTCACTGAAGTTTATTGCCTGGATGGCATGATGGAGAACACAACTGAACCACTATATGCCTTTTTACGAAGAAAAAATCTGCAAGAGGAACACATTTCTAGACTAAAAAATGACAAAGTATGTTAGTACTGAATAATGTTTTTGAAATAATAGCATCTGAATTCAGATGAGTGCATATTGCTAAAGAAGTGTTAATAGCTGCAAGCTCTGAGCACAAACCCAAATAATGTGTTCTGTTCGTTTTTGTTTATATAGTGGTTCAGTCGTGTTCCCCATCACGCCATCTAGGCAATAAACTTCAAAGTTACAAACCAGAAGAAACCATTCATTATAAGGAGATGATTATCTTGATATAACAAGATAGTTGTCTCGTTTTTACAAGATAGTTACCACCGCCAAGGGCGAGGTAATGTTTTCGGTCATGTCTGTCTGTCTTTGGACAACATTACTTAAAAACTTGTGGAAGGATTGTCATGACATGTTTACCACATGTGGGTACTGGGCCAATGAACACAACTTTAAATTTTGGTGATGTTCCGGATCACGATGCGGATACRTGAATTTTTTTTCTTTTAACACTCTGAGATCGGCAAAGCCGTGTTGCATTCACAGGGCTTCTGTAAAAAAAACTGTGAGCTGGATTGGACAGCACGAACTTCAAACTTTATAAAAGTAATGTTAAAACCAGATTTAATGATGAATAATTTTTTGCCATAATATGCGCATTTACAGAACGTTTTGTGACCAGGAAGTGYGTGACTGCACCATGAAACCTATTTTTCCCATTTTCTCAAACACACCACATTTCCGAAACAACCAATCAAAACAGTTTGTCTCTACTAGGCTTGTAAACAGAGAGCTGCCGGGCCTCAAAGTTTGGAGACGGGGGGAGCCAGGAAGCACTTTATAAAGAGAGTCAAACCATTACAAACTCATACAAGGRGATAAAACAGATGTTTTACATGGTGAAATGTGACTGATKAAAACTTAGGAGCTTAATCCAACACCAGTTTGACGATGAATAACGTCGGGTGASGAGTCTGACTTTTTTTTTCCACATTAGACTCCACCGAGAAGAAATCCCGTGCATACTGCTGCTTAAATGTTCACTACGTCAGAACTTATTCGGCAAATGTGTTTCCATCTCTGCTTTTGCGCATTTAATCTTACAGGATGGGGGAAATTGGTCTTGGTGGAGGTTTGCACTCTGAGTGCTTCTAGTTTTCTCATTATAACGAGATATTTTTGTCATTATAACGACATATTTTCTCGTTTTCACATGATAGTTTTGTCGTTATAACGAGATCCAGATTAAACATAATTTTATGTCATGTGACAGCTCTACRCTTCCGTAGGATACTGGTGCAAACTCACTGTGTGACCTCACCTAAGGACGATCCTTTTTAGMTTCAGCTAAGAGTTCCCGCCTAAATCAGATCCACTAAACAAATCAAGCCTATTGTGCAGAGCAAGCTTCACATTTTATTCTCAACAAGCCCACAGAAAGCAGATCCATAGCTCTCCCCTTGCAAAGGTCACGCTGCTTTCCATCCACAGAGCAATGATGTGAGCTTCAGAGGAGCTCTGAACCACAACATTTCATGGATTAAAGCCCTCGGCCCCTCCCGCACGCTAAAATCATTTTGCTAATGGAACGCACTGAGCATTCTGCTTTAAAAAAAAAAGAAAGTTATTTGTCGGGAGCAACAGATAATCCATTTTGCCAACGCAGACCTGAGAGAGCACCCACTTATGCTATCAAGTGCACCGGAGACACTCTAATCCATAATCCACTCTTCATTTGTGATTGCTTACATCAGGAAATTGCTTGCATCATATGTACAGTCCTGGAATAATAACCAAGGAGAAAATAGCCGGGCCYGGGCTGCGGCGCAGGCCGGTTTGGTGTGCATGGGTGGTACAGCAGTGACTCCAGCAGCAGCTAATGGAATGCTTTGTCAGACATTTATTCAAGGAAGAGCATGTTTTTTTGTGAAAAAAATAAAATAAATCTCAGGATGCAGCATGCGGTGTGCCTTCCAACTCTATTAGAAATAAACGAAAAGTAGTTAAATGATAGGAAAAGCAGTCGTTAAAGAAATGCATATTGAACGCCACCTTTCGTGACCGAATTTAAAWTGAAATCACTTCGAGTTGAGCGGGAACAAAGTTACTTCACCGTTTAGCCAAACTTTGTTAACGGTGGTAAATTTTGACCTTTGACTTCACAGTAGACCAGTATTGTTTTTCACTGCCGTTTTAATTTTAGTCTTAGTCTTTTGAACAAAAATACTTCTTAGTTTTAGCCAGTTTTTGTTATTTCTATATTTAATGGTTTTAGTCCAGTTTTAGTCAACGAAAACTTTTAAAAAATTGTTTAGTTTTAGTCTTTAAAAAAGACAACACATTAATCTTTACAAATTAATTTGAGTAATTTCTGTTAACATTTGTAAATTTGCGTAATTTGTTTTACGCTAAAAATGTCCAAAACAAAAACATTCTCACTTTGTGGCTTTATTTCTCAGAATTTGCTGAAGTTCAAGAACATACACAATACTACACATGCCCAGTATTATAAACAATAAAGGGGTTCAACTCAAACTTGTCAGCCAGGATGATGAAGATGCATCTTATTTATAAAAAACAGACATCATGCAGTCCTAAACTTAGTTAGTAGACTATTAAACTTGCGCAAACGAGTGTTTACATGCACCAGGCTTTTATTCAGAACAGAAGCACTGACATGCACAGTTGCTAACCCACCCCGCCAAAAAAACAAAACAAAACAACAGAAAAGAGTTTTACTTTCGTCATAAACGTAAACAAACAGCTTCTGAGCTCAGAATGGACCTGCAACAGCTTTTAAAAATGGTGGAGACATTACTCCCTGGTTAGGCTACAGTTGACGGACGGACTTTTTTTTTTTTTTTTTGCGAAGCGGCGCAGGCTGTGAGAGAACCGTCTCGTTATCATCATGAAAAAAGGGGACGTCGACGAAAATATTTTGTCATCGTCATCATTAACGAAAACAACACTGGCTGTGGCCTCCCACCTCCTAACCCTTTGTGTCGTCCCTCTGGTTTCAGGTGGTCCAGGTCCCCGTGGAGGCCTGTGAGCAGTACAGCACRTGTGCCGAGTGCCTCAGCTCCGGTGATCCGCACTGTGGCTGGTGTGTCCTGTACAACATGTGAGTCTGTTCCCTTTATCTTCTCATGCACACATCAAAGCAGATGGATTAAAACCACTACGTCACTGTTTACCAAACGGCTTGCAGAAAGCTAGGACTGAGGTTTTAAGCCTCTAGTTGTGTAATTTGGGTTGTTTAATACACCGCTCTTATGTTTATGTCTGGAGTTCCTGTTATCAACATTTAGCGGGAGAGTCAAAAAACCCGAAAGTGGTCAGAGGACTTTGTGATCCTCTCTAAATAGCACTATTTAGACAACAGAAGCTGTGCGAGCACCAGATTCCATTGTCTGCCAGAGAGAGGACAACCGGTGTTAATGGAAAAGGGAGGGATTAGCCTCGCAGTCGCAGCGAGTGTACCAGCTGCACCTCGACATACCCGCGAAACATTTTGGACCTGACGGAGCAAGCTTYATCTCCTCTATCTTAATTATCTGACCCCAGGTTGGCTTGCATAACACTTCGATACGGAGCAGAGGGGATTCAGGAGATTAAAAGCGCACGTTTCTGAACCAGGCGCTGTGTTTGAAGCTGACCTCAGCCGGGGATTTATCCCCCGTCTCATCGTTCCACATCTGCAATTCAGCCAGCAATATCTTGATGGCGATCAGCATTATTTAAATTGCAGCTCTCAATTTTATCTGGCGAGGAGAAAAATAATGCTTTTTAAATTCTAAATTACCTCATTAAACAGTTGCTGTATTTTTTTGAGAGCTCACTTTGTCTGAAAGTCTCATTACAGCCTTTATTTGAATTAGTGTCTTCCACTTATCAGTGAGTAGAAAGGCTGCTGTTGCCTCCAGTTACCCAAAAAGAATCATGATCCCTCACACAGCAGAATGAAGCTACTTTGTTTTTCTGTCGTATTAAATCCAAATTGGGTTTTTTTTYCAGCTCTTTGAATGACTCTCACAGTGTCATACTGACTGAGCTCACTTTCCCACCCATGGAGAACTGCACCCCTGCACTAATCTAATGCCTCGTCTTCGCAGGAATATGCTTCTCAAAAACAAACTTTTTATTTGTTGTTCTAAAAATAACCATGTCAACCCTGTACAGTTTTTTTCTAAGTTTTCATCCATAAAATGCCTGTATGCGGTGGTGTAATACTGCCATAAAAATACACCAGAAACAGGAAACGGGGTGYGGAGAATGCACATAGGATAGACTCTATCAGCCAATATTGACTAAAAATCAGGGGCGGTTTTAGGGGAGGGGCCACAGGGGCATTAGTCCCTACTGAAATTTGATTGGCCCCCTGAAGTGCCCCTGTCCTGTCATTCATCTGTCCTTTGCCCAAGAGTGATGATGCTGGGTGCAGTTCTATGCCTAAACACTAGGGGCACTAAGGAGCCAAATAGAACAGTCCAGCATGAATCAAGCTGACAGACGTCTTTTTCTTTTCTTAAAATTTGAACAATCCTGTAGAAAAAGTCTTTCAACTCACAAATGATGGCTGGATTCTCTCACATSYTGTGCGTTTGAGAATATTTTATCTRTGTACYGTAAAATGCWTGTAAAATTGGTAAGGAGAATTTAATGCAAGCTGTTTTAAAGTTACATTACAAGTGTTTAAAAGAGTGACTAGTAAAATATGTATAATATATAATACTATACCAAAAACAGCAATTTGTGTGCAAGTATGCTGAACAAATACTTGGCCCCTCTATGAATATTGTGGCCCCTTGATGGCCCCTTACTCAGAAAAATCTTAGATCCGCCACTGCTAAAAATAACAAAATTTGTGCTACATATCAGCCATAGGCTGCCCTGATTTCTAGAAATTGGCATTGGCCATGAAAAACACAGCTTTTATCAGTCGACCTCTACATACATCTTGAATCCTCTCATGTCTGCAGCAGCGTGGAAATCATCATTATTGTCACATTTGTCACGTTAGAATAAAGGCTTTTATTCTAATTTAATCAAAGGRCCATCTGTAATTAACTTTGACACTACATGTTTAACTTAAACTAAACAGCGTTTTAACTCATCCTGTTATAAACACTGAAAAGTATTACATGTATGACTGACTAAATCCRAAATAAATAATACAGAAATAATATTATAAGTAAAACTAAGAGTTTTATTCACGGATGAGTTGTGGTGAGTAGCTGCTCAGTTACTTAAAGCCAACAGCTCAGGGGCAGCACAAGTATTATCATCTTTCACCTTTTAAATTTGTTTATTTTGTTGCATTTAATCATAAATTTAAAGTTTACCATTGATAAAAGCAATAATTTTTATATTAAGTTTAAAAGAATAAAACAAGTGTCGGACCAGATGGGAGTCACCCGCGAATCGCTTTTGGCCCGCAGGCCTTGATATTGACACATAGCATACTGTAATAATAGTTTTTTTAAAAGGATGCCTTTAAAAAAGATCTTCTCAGTCTGAAAAACCCTTTTTTGAAAAATACAGTTTAGGGGCTTCCAAAATGACATTTCCATATGCTGAAAAAAAAGGTAATGAATAAATAATTTATATATCTGGTGATCCAACAGAAGTTTCAAACTATYGGCCAATTTCTGTTCTTCCTATTTTTTCTAAGTTACTTGAAAAAACATTTTTTAATCAACTACTTCAGCATCTAGAAGCTAATAATATGCTAAGCAATGGCCAACATGGTTTTCGCAAGTCAAGGTCAACCATGTCTGCATTAATTTTATTCACTGAACAAATAGGTGCTGCTTTGAACAAAGGTCAAGTAACTGGTGCTGTATATATTGATTTTCGTAAAGCGTTTGACACAGTTGATCATTATACTCTCTTACAAAAGTTGATTTCTTTTCAACTTTCATCATCTGCAATTCAAATGTTTTCCTCTTATTTGACTGATAGGTGTCAGGTTGTGAAACATGGAAGCTCTGTGTCCGGGTCTCTGCCCTGTTCCGTGGGAGTTCCGCAGGGTAGCATACTGGGCCCATTGCTTTTCCTATTATACATAAATGACCTTCCAAAAATATTGAAGTATTCAAATATTTTAAAGTATGCTGATGATACTGTTCTTTTTTGTCTGATTTCAATATTGAATCTATTAATAGTCAGTTACAAGCAGATCTTCARACATTTCATGGTCGGCTTCAAGATAATCTTTTGTCAATTAATGTTAAAAAACTGTGTGCATGTATTTTTCCTCACCCAGGAGACATTTCAATATAACAAATCAACTCACTTTTTTAAACAAACCCCTTGATATTGTCATTACCTACAAATATCTTGGAATTACTTTGGATTCTCATTTGACTTATCGTGATCATGTACAAGTCTTAACCACTAAGTTGAAACAGAAATTATACGTTTATTCAAAAATTAGATCCAATCTGACATCTTCTGTTTCAAATATCTATCTTTATGCCATTATACTCTCAACCATGTCGTACTGTTTACCTGTTTGGTCTCTTACAACAAATGAAATCTTAGAACCCATAGTTAGGCTCTACAACAGGGCCTACAAAATTCATAAAAAACTTCCTGGTTGGACTCATCACTGTACAGTTCTTTCATTGTCTGATGCCTTGACTTTTCAGAATTATGTTTTGTATAGTGGTATTAATTTATATTTTCAGATCTTCCAAGGTGCCAATTATGGAACTCTCTGTGCATTGTAGCCCAAATCAAATTCTGGAAGTGGTCATTCAACTAGATCTGTTACAAAAGGACAAGTGATATTACCAACTTTTAAAAACTGTTACGGCCAGAGGTCTTTCTTCTATGTTTATACTAAAGCATGGAATGACATTCCTCAAAACATAAAGTCCATTTCAAAACTACAGCCCTTTAAGAAGAATCTTGTCTGCCATCTGCTGGACAATTTTTGTTGTGCTCATATTTAGACATCCTATTTTGCAAATGCTGCCTTCCTGAAATTTGGTATGCTTGTTTGTCTTTGTGTCTATGGTGTAATAATAATGATGTGATTGTGATGCTGTATTTCTGAGTGTTTTGTGTGCTGCAGAACATGAACCTGCTGTAAAACAGCAATTATGCTGAGTCAGGCTTGAATTTTAGTAATCTTTTCCTGTTGAATCAATAAATCAAATCAAATCAAATTAAATCAAATAAAACTTTTACATATTTATAAAACGTTCYTGTGTAGGCGGGACCTAATAGGCAAGAGGTGTTTGTGATCACGTACAAAGCCTGAAAGAAAAAAAGGATTAAAAGATGTGATCAAACATGAAAGAGACAAAAATAAAAGGTAAAGACACACAGTGAGAGATGAAAGGTGTTTTTTTTCCTCTTCTCCGGCACTTCAGCTGATGAGTGGTCAGAAGGTGACCGTCTATAGTCCCATAGCTGAGGTCTGCCTCAAGGAGCCAAGCCAGCAGCAGCTGCCACCTTCACACTGAGCCGTAATTACAGCAGAGGCCTCGKCGCTCTTTGAGTCCTCTCAGGAGCTGCCACCCCCTCAGCTGCAACCGAGCTCGTATTAAGCACCATCTCCCCCTTATTGTGAATGTTTCACACTGAAAGAAAGAGGCAAATTACTCCCAGAGTTTTCAGTTACAGGTCAACTTTACTGCAGACACTCCGTTTTTTTTTCCTCAACAGCCTGTTTCTACTTGAACATTTAGAGATGAAACGACTACATTGCCTCTTTCAAAATGCATCCGCATAAGTAGAGCGACAAAAAAAGTATCTTAGCAACTAATCCCCATCTGTTCAACTGGACAAATTGCTTGAAATTTCCACTCTCCACTAGTACTTCAAATGTACTTTTACTCTGCTTGTCTGTCTATCATCACAGAGGTCCTCCTGGGCTGCAAACATTTTCTCTCCTTACTTTTAATTGTGCTTAGGAGCGTCTAGGATTTAAGTTTTTTTTTTCAATAATTGCTTTAAAATTTGATCTAACAAATAAAGAATAAAGACTCATTAGCATCTGCAGTACTTTTGGTAGTAATTAAATTAAAAAGACAGCCTCAGGAACTGTTAATTAGCACAATGGTTAGAATTAGAATTAGCTACAAAATATTTGACAGAATGTTAAATTATGACTATAGAAGCTGGTATGGGAAATTTTATAAACCTTAGTTTAGAATAGTTTGCTTTATCTGTATGCTGAAAGTGTCTGTTTTACAATAATGCTATCATCTCTTTAAAAGAATTCATATTTAGCACGGTGTTTTGCATTTATTTGTTTACTGCCTGCTGCCAAAAGCAGCAGAGCATTAATAGTTTTGGCTGTATCTGCGTGTTTGTGTGTCTTGTGATGTGCAGACACATAAAAAATTAGCTTTTTGATGTTCGTTTTCCTGACTTTAAATTTGCTACATCACTAAACGGTACCTTTTTTTTGTACTCTTGTCCACAGGTGCTCAAGGAAGGACCGGTGCCCGCGGGCGGAAGAGAGCTTCCGTTTTGCGAGCGACATTGACCGCTGCGTGAAGGTTATYGCTCACCCCGACAGCATCGCTGTATCAGCACACAGTGTCCCCGTGAGTCTGCCCATCATTCCACCAATCGCTGCGCTGCCACTCACAGCGCTGGAGTGTTTTTAAGAAATCACCTTGAGTAGCCTTGGACAGTACAGTAAGGGTGAACCTGGGAGAGGTTCGTTCTCTGAGGGGTGAAGTGAAAATGGGAGGCTGAGTTTCTCTGTCCATCCACTGTGTTTGTTTTTATTGTCCAAAGGTGATAATGTTGTTGCCCATGTGTATGTATCCCACTAACCAGTAGATTATTTACTGAGACTAACACAAAATAGTTGTTGGATGTACATTTAAAAATTAGTAACATTTAGAGCAGGGGTGTCAAACTCATTTTCACCGAGGGCCACATGAGCGTTATGGTGGCCCTCGAAGGGCCACTTGTAATCAACTTTGACGTTTCATGTTTACCTTTGACTAAACCGTGTTTTAACACGTCCTCTTTTAAACACAAAGTGTACGACTGACT